CGCCAGTGGCGGTCTTTCTTACTCTGTCCACCAGAGCCGTGGCGGTCCTGGGCACCCTAGCCGGCCGGGGACGGACCCGGGGCCGGCGAAGGATTTGTCTTCTTGGGGGGATGGCCCCCCTCTCTCTTGTGATTGTGGAGCTCATCGGCGTCGGCATACAAGCCTCCGCGCTGGAGCGCCTTGGCGTACGACCTCGGGGGGTCGGTGATGAGGCTCCTCTATGATTTCCACTTTATGCATCAATATTCAACAAAGTTAAGATAGCATTCATGATTAAAGACGATGTCTCTAAATTTCTAATATAAATATACGTCGTTCGTAGTATAATGATATATTAATTAGTCCGTAATACAAAGTACTCCGTTAATTAAACATATACTCCGTATAACGTAGTACATACTAAGAATCTTCGATGAAGCCTAAGAAAATAATCCCGATTGTCGTGTTATTTGTAGTCCTAGTGGCCGTAATTGGTTACATTTGTTACTCTGTAAAAGCGGGCTAAGAATATAATCACGATTGATGTTTGGAGTCACAGAGGGCATCGAGGGCTTGGGCCCCCACAATTTTTTTAAGGTAATTTGAGTTTGTATTTGGTTGTATTGTCTAAATTGGACTTTATATTTAGATTTTGAAAATCTTTGTTTTTGTACACCAAGTTTGTATCTCTGTTAATAATTCTATTGACATTCGTCATATTCCTGATCGAGGGGCGTTTCTTTTTCATATGAGGTTGGGGTGCAAAAACAAATATTTTTAAAAATGGAATGCAAAGTCCAATTTAAACAATAAAATGGAGTGCAAACTCAAATTACCCTTTTCCCAAGCTATATTTGATCTAGACCCTTGTTTACTTTGTCAGCATTTTGCAATTTCATACGAAGTATACTGTATGTTGTATCACTTGTATGCCTCTTTCTTTTTTATTTTTTTTATCACTTGTATGCCTCTCTTAATTAAGTTGTGAGCAATATAACATAACTTTCGAGTTTCTTTATACAATTATATATATTACCTTTTCCGTAAGCTATATATTATATTATGTGGAATAGAACTTTAGGTAAAGATGATTGACTTGTATGGCACCCTAGCTTCATCTTGATACTACAACGATGGTGCATGACTAGAATTCAAAAGACCTACCCGTGGGCGTAGCTCAACTGCTAGCAAGGGAATGTCACAAGGGTTAGGTCCCGGATAAGAATCCCGGCAACTGCGATGAGGAATTACTATGCTAAAAATGCATAGGGCTTCTGCAAGTATCGGGGACAGAGCCTCACTCTCTATCTGTCAGATTGAGATTATAGTCTAATATATATCCTCCCAACGTATGGGTCGGGGTTGGGGACCCTCAGGGATGGAGTGTCATCCTTTTTTTTAGAATTCAAAAGACCTCATCTATAATGTATGCAGCAAATCATCTATAATGTATTAGCCAGAGTCGTCTAATGAATTTGGAGGCCCCGTTCCAAACGTAAAATCAAAGCCCCATATTAATATAAAAAACTAAAAAAAATCTCAATCTAAATATTTATGCTGAAATCAATTGAATACTCATTAAACAATATAATAAACATTCTAAAATCACTTAATACTTGATTTAAAGCAACACAACTTATCACTCCATCAATTTCAGTAAAAGTACTGACAAAAAACTTTATTTTATTTATTAGTATTTATATTTGAAAAAAAATTGGATCCCTGTAAATCCGGAGACCCTATTCTGTAGAACATGTTGAACATGTTGAAAAACGGCTCTACTATTAGCTTAATATACTCACATGACTAGCATTTAAGTAAGACTTCTCTTTATCATTTATTTACCTTAGTTATATTTGAAAAATACGCTACTTTTCATTCCTCAAATACAGTCTTACATATGGACTAGTGTTTAAATTCAAAGAAGGTAAAAATAACATTTTTAAACACCCGCTTCTATTTTCCAGAAACGTAACACTTTAAAGCTAACATCAACACGCTTCTATTGTTTACAATTTAATACACGCTTTGATGAAGTTTGACAGGGATTGGACTTGAAATGGCGGGTCAACGAAACGTTGACCGGTTGTCCAGAGGGCAACCGACGCCGGTTATGGCTTGAACCGGCGCCGGTTTGAATACGTGGTTCACTATTAATTTCTTTAATAGTGAATCAGCGCCGGTTAGGTGTTGAATCGGCATCGGTTCGGCCCAGTTTTACCTGACGGGTTATATTTGATGTGCATTGCATGGATGATTATGCTTAGGCTTTAAGACTTGATTTAGTATTGATTATTGATTATGATATAGACCCTATATAGTATGATATGTGGTAGATCATAGGTCGGATGGGGTACCCAAGGATCAAACGTGTATCCTCAAAACTCGGTTATGTCGGGTGGAGTACCCAGAGATCGAGCGTCTATCCTCAAAACTCAGTTATGTCGGGTGGAGTATCCAGGGATCGAGCGTGTATCCTCAAAACTCGGTTATGTCGGGTGGAGTACTTAGGGATCGAGCGTGTATACTCAAAATTCGGTTATGTCGGGTGGAGTACCCATTGATCAAGCGTGTATTCTCAAAACTCATAGATTACAGTTTAGAAATTTAGGACCAGACAATGTCCTTATGGTAATTGATTTGAACAAGGAGGAGTCCTATACACTGATAGGTATATGGGTGTGTTGGGATTTTAAGTCAAGAACATTGACTACTACTATTTTTCGATATAAACAATGACCTACGGGTCGAGTATTTCAAGTTTATATATACTCATATGTTTTTCATAATTTGGGGATAAGGACTATATGTGTATGTATCACCCTATGTTTGGATTTTATACTTGAAATGTTAGTTATGGTACATTTAGCTTACTACTCGCTCGGTATTCGTGTACTGACCCCCTTTGGAGGGGCCCACGCTTTAAGGTTGAAGCTAAAGCTAGTTATCCGCACCTTGCTCGGTGAAGTGATCCAAAGGAAGATGTGGTTCGTGCTTCCTTTATTATTTTAAACTATAAACTATGCTCATAGATATATATGTAATGAATACATTGGTTTGTGCCTGCGAGCCCACGTTTTGGCCATGTGTGACCCATAATTGAATATTAAATATTACCGCTATTCATTCAATCCAAAGTTGTGATGTTGTTATGTGTGTTACCTACTGAGTATGGTATGGATTGTGTTCATGGACGCCATGTATGATTAAGTGATGTTGATCTGCGAGTGATGGCATTTGATCATACGACGACTGTACACGCGCTTAGATGCAGTCTGGGGCGTGACAACTTATGCAACCAGGAATTATTCTTTTATGATGGAATTTTCTACTTGAATATGTGTATACTTATATTTCTTTTTACTATATATGTTATTTTGTGAAGTATTCCTCCGGTCCTAAATAAACTTCACACTTTCCTTTTTGGGTAGGTTCAAAAATAAACTTCACACTTCTTCTCTCTTCCTTATTTGGCAAATTATCTACATCAAAATAGTGCAAAACAGTGCCAAACAGTGTCACAACCGTGTACTCTACAGTAAAGTCAGATTTATTTCCTTAATTTGTGTGAAATCAAAGTGTGAAGTTTATTTAGCACCAAAGGGAGTATATAATTCAAATGTTCAAAATTATACCCTGTATTTTTTGTCCAAATTTTTGTACCGTATTATACACGTATATGTATTTATACGTTTTTTAAAATTTGACGTTTTTTCAACGAATTTTTTAGCGTTTCTTCATTAATGTTATCGAATAAAATGCGTACGTATTAAGGCTATGTTTGGCACAACTAGCTGAAAAGATACTTTTACAGTCTTTTTAGTAACGGTTAGCTTTTAGTGACTGAAAAGATCTTAAAAGTAAAAGGTGGTAGCTGTTTGGTAAAAAGCTGATTGTTTGGTTTAGTTCTGTTTGATATACAAGCTGTTGAGACTCATTAATGCTAAAAGTCACAGACTTTTCTCAGATGCTACTCCCTGTAGCATCTCAAAAAAGATCTTTTATTTTTTGAAAAGCTCTTAAAAATTGTCATACCAAACATACAACTAGAAACTTTTAGGAACTTTTTAAATAGTACAAAAGCTAGAAGACAGAGACTTATGTCTGCCAAACATGGCCTAAACCTCGTTTAATTCCCGTACCATATTTAACCAACTAGGCTTCCTAGAACACTTTTTGTCTATGCAAGAGATTTATGTAAAATTGGAGTTATCCAATCAATATTTTTGTATGTGACTTAACTTTACAGACAAAAATTGTGGATGCGAAATGTTGGGAAAATGTGAACAAAAAGTATATAATTCTTTTATCTAATTTAAAACATTATTTTGTGCAAGACTAATACGGAGTATTATCTATAAAATCTAATTTTTGGCCCCGAGTTTTTTTGTCTATGACCTAATAACTTAGACAGAAAATTTCAATATAAAAGGTTTTGAAAGAATGTACGTAAATGTACAAATTTTTCATCGGATCTAAAGTTATAATCTTAATAATACTAAAGTTAAAACAATGTTAATTCTATTTAAACCAATATGATTTACAAACTTAAATACGGAGTACAACATATACGCCCTCCCCAACATCCATTCTTTATAACTTTATCATCATTTTTCTTTGTAGAACATATACGGAGTACAACATATACACCCTCGCGCAACATATACAATCAAAGTTGCGTGTTGGTAAATGTGAAAGTCAAACTATTGCAACTTTTATGGAACGGATGATAGTATAAAGATTATTTCGGAATTAACAAAAAATAGAAAAAATTCTGTTAGATAGAGTTACTAATAAAAAATTTGCCCCTCCTTTCCGTTTTAATTAATTAATTACTCCGTAATTAATTAATTCTTGATCATGTTATTTGTATTTCCTTCATGCAAATCTTAACGGTGAAGTTTTTAAGGGATTATAGAGAATATTATCAATGATGATTTCACTATCATAATATGCCAATAAATTGGGCATAGGATATAGTTGTCTATTTGCTCAAAGCAAAAAAATAAGGATACACTCCATCGCTGAAACTATTAAATTGGATTATAATCACAATTTCAAATATAGAAAGAAACTGGGTCTCTCTTACTTTGCTCCAAAATTTCTGAAGAGTGGCCGCCAAGGAACTGTCTCCCTTTAATAGAAAACCTCACAAATTTACTCATCCCTCCGTCGTCTGAAGATCAGTCTTTCTCTGCCGGCATTTCCGATCGTCCAATATCCCTACTAAAAAACCTCATAATGGGTGTTATTCTTGGTCCACCGGAAGTTTACAATCCCACGGCAACCGCCGGCATCGCCGAATCATCGGGCTCAGATTCCGACTCTTTCATGGATGGCATGGAGAAGAATTTCAACCTCTCCGACAAAGACTCCGATTCACCTCCGATGGGGCTGACGCAGAACAACTCGCTCACCTATCTCTCCACCAAAAACCCATGTCTGGACTTCTTCTATCAGATCGTCCCCGGCGCCGACCGTCGCACCATTCACGAGGGTCTCCGGCGGTCGTGGGATCACAACCCCCTCACCACTCTCAAGCTCATCTGCAATCTCCGTGGACTCCGCGGCACCGGAAAATCGGACAGGGAAGGGTACTACGCATCGGCTTTATGGCTTCATGGACTCCACCCCAAAACCCTAGCCTGCAATTTGAGGGAAATGGCGAAATTCGGCTATTTCAAAGACTTTCCGGAGCTTCTCTACCGGCTTATCGAAGGTGAAGAGGTTAGGAAAATTAGAAAAAGCCAGCATGAGCTCAATAAGAGTAGAATGAAACGTAAGAGACGTAGATACGTTGCTCCTGATGAGAAGAAGAAGCAGCCATTGACAGAGGCTCAAAGGGAAGCTCGGGTTTTGGCTAATCAGAGGAAACACATGGCTGAGAAGGCGGCAGCAAGTCGAGCAAGGGAATCTGCTAAAGCCGAGAAGGCAAAAAGGGCCATCCTCAGATACAAACACGACCCAGATTACAGATACTTACACGACTCCATCTCTGATCTCTTCGCTGAGTTTCTGAAGAAAGATTTGGAATCATTGAATCAAACTGGATCTCCTATGATCAGCCTGGCTGCAAAGTGGTGCCCATCATTGAACTCACCATTCGAACGATCCACACTCTTGTGCGAAAGCATTGCGCGAAAGATCTTCCCGAAAGAACAACACCCCGAATATCAAACACTTGAAGAATCACAGTATGCCTACCGTGTTCGGGATCGTTTGAGGAAGGAGGTCCTTGTTCCTCTCCGGAAGGCTCTGCAATTACCCGAGGTCTACATGGGGGCCCAGAATTGGGGCTCGATCCCCTACAACCGAGTCCCCTCCATTGCGATGAAGGTGTACGAGAAGCAATTTCTTAAACATGACAAGGATCGATTTGAGGAGTATCTCAACGACGTGAAATCCGGGAATGCAAAAATTGCAGCGGGTGCGCTTCTCCCTCATGAGATTATCAAATCCCTAGGCGAAGATGGTACAGGAAGTTCTGTTGCAGAGGCACAATGGAGGAGAATGGTTGACGATCTGACGAAAAGGGGGAAGCTGAGGAACTGTCTTGCAGTTTGTGACGTTTCTTCTTCAGAGCTATCAATGGTGCAGAGGGACGTGAGTCTGGCGTTGGGTCTTTTAGTATCCGAACTAAGTGAAGAGCCATGGAAAGGGAGGGTAATCACCTTCAGCTCAAAGCCAAAGCTTCACAAAATCAAGGGAGACACCCTTCTGTCAAAGGTTGATTCTGTCAAGAAAATGAAATCCGGATCAAGGCCCGATTTCCAAAGGGTGTTTGATGCTATTCTTGAAGTTGCTGTCAAGGGGAATTTGAGAGAAGACCAGATGATAAAAAGGCTGTTTGTTTTCAGCGGCATGGATTTCAAACATGCACTCTCTATGAGAGATGAGTCCTCTGATGAAGAGGGTGATGACGTCTTCAAGGTACGGATGAGAATGAGACGGATGATGGCGAGACGGATGATGGATTGGGAAACAGATTACGAAGCGATCGAGAGGAAGTTCAAGGAGAAAGGCTACGGGAATTGCATTCCTGAGATGGTGTTTTGGAACTTGTCAGATTCTAAATCCACGCCAGTCGTGGGGAATCAGAAAGGAGTGGCGTTGGTTAGCGGCCATGCTAAGAATATGTTGAAAACATTCTTGGAAGGTGATGGTGTGATTGATCCTCTTACCATAATGGAGTCTGCCATTTCCAGAGAAGAGTATAGCAATCTTGCTGTCTTTGATTGATTTGATCATCCAAGCATAAATAACATGAAAAAAATTGTTCTGCTCGAAAAAGCTTTGTTAAGGCGTTTTAGCAAAATAATGTGCTTTCTTGTTAATTCCAATATCGGATTTCTTGCATCACTGACTTCAAAGAATTTTCGCTAATATTAGTAGCAGTTTAGTTTGATCATCTGCGTAGTACTGGTTTCATAAGCCTGCCAATTGACAGACATTACTTAAACCTTAGCTTTTGTGCTGCAATATAAAGTTTTTTTGTGAGGGTAATGTGTATCCACTCGCAGTCAACAGGGTGCCAAATTAGCAGGGTTGTAGACAGACATTGGAACTCTGGGAAACTACAAGAGCATCTAACATCCAATTAACGGGTTCTGGATTTGGATTGACACTCTACTAAACCTGGTTAATAATAACAGTTTGGGATGGTTTGAGATAGACCTTGTCCTAAACTCATCATCTTTAAATCTGGAAGAGACAATTTGGATCCTGAATAAATGAATTTGATTTTGCACCCCATTTTTAGGTGATTTAATTCTGCACCATGTTTTCAAAATCATTAATATATCACTCCAATTCAATATAAATTTATTTTGACTTTGCACCCCACTCCTTCACCATTTTTAAATCGATGAGGTGCACACATTAATAATTTTGAAAATGAGGTACAAAGTTCAATCTCCCAAAACATGTGGTGCAAAGTCAAGTTCTCTTAAACAGAAAACAATTAACCACGGGTTTCGCTTGGTGGGCAGGGAATGCCATATCAAGGGATATATGAATGAATGTAAATAGCGTAAAGTTAACATTTTTTGTCAATCAATGTTAAAGGTAAATCCTCTTTATTGATAATTTAATTTTAATAATTAAAATTTACATATTCAGAAACTAAATTAAAATCTCTATAACGTTAAAAATCCAAATTAAAATCTAATTAAGAATTGATATCCTAATTAAGTGAATAAAATGAGTATGTTGGATCCAAAAATGTCAACTTTGCACCTCAATTTGGGACGTAGGGAGTATGGTAATAGTACATATATACACTTTTACAAAAACTCTTACAAAAGAGATACTATATCCGTCCCAAAAAACTTTGTCATTTCAAAAAATTTGAACATTGGTTTTGATTAGTATAATATTATGGAAATTATAAATTTTATACTTTTATGAAAGTACTTTTAACAAAGAGCATTTTCATATAATTTTTATATTATAAATAATTTTCAATAAAAAGATATAGTCGGTCAAACTTTTGAAAATGACAAAGTTTTTTGGGATGGAGATGATACTTCTTAGTTCTTACGTGACAATATTATGAGAGTGTTTGGATCCACTTCTTAAATTTGCTTTTGTTTTTTCCAAAAAGCAAAAGCAGCTATTAAAGTGTTTGGCTAAAAAATACAGAAGTATTTTTGGTGCTCTAAATTTCTCCTAAAAGTAGTTTTTTAGAAATTGGGAGAAAACAATTTTTAAAGAATCGATTCTTATTATGATTCTGTTTTTAAAAAAGAAACAAAAGAAGAATTAATTTTAAACACTTTTATACTCTCTTCGTTCTCTAATTCTTGGCCCTCTTTCCATTTTGGGATGTTCTCTATTAGTTGTCTCCTTTTCCACTTTTGGTAAATTTTTTCAATAAATATACTCATTTACCCTTATTCTCTTTCCAACTTTTTCATTCTCTTTCCTACTTTTACCTTTACACACAATACACTACACCTTTTATCCTACCCTTATTAATTCTTTCTTAAATCTTGTGCCAAAGGCTATACTCCCGTCTATTAGAGAACGAAGGGAGTATCATTTAACATATCAAATTACTTTTACGACAAAAGTAATTACAATAATCACATCACTTGCATGTAAGTCCTTTCCTAGAAAAATTTGGTTGTAGTTATATCATTTTTCATAATTAATTTATACGAAATATATTAGAGAATGACATGAAATGAATGGTAGTAATGTGAGACAAAGATATGTACTCGTATAAAAGAACCGGAAATAAAACGAAGAACCTCATTTGGGAAGGAATCGGATTTAAATGGAAATCATTTAAATACGGAGTAAATTTGAAACGATGAATCGGCTTCCAGGCAAAAACGGATCCAATGAGTTTTTTTATTGATTCTTTGCTGCTTCGCCAGTAAGCAACCCTTCGCTGCTAATAAACTCTGGAAATCAGAACTAATACAAGGATCAAGGATGAAGAAGGAGAAAATCAGATATCCATTAATGGAGGTTTTGTTTTACAATAGAAGCTCTCTGTATTCGGTCAACATGAATCATTATATATACAATAATGTGTAACTAACTTCAAACGGTATTACATAAGAAACTACTAGAAGCTTTACACGTAAGTTATATGTAATCTGAGCTTCACGATGATATACTTCACATCCCCTCCTCAAGTTAGACTTGGTTGATAAGTCCTAACTTGGAAATGAATTGTTGATGATGTTTAACTCCCAAAGCTTTTGTTAATACGTCTGCAATCTGAGATCCAGTATGAACATGGTATGGTTTCAAGAGTCCTTCTTGAAATCTTTCTCTGATGTAATGACAATCAATACGTAAATGTTTTGTTTTGTCATGAAATACTGGGTTTTCAACGATATGTTGAGCTGCCATATTACCGCAATATAAAGGTATGGGTTTTGGAATTTGTACATTTAGTTCACTCAATAATCCATCAACCCATACAACTTCAGATGCAGTATTACTCATACTTCTATATTCAGATTCAGCTGTAGATTTGCTCACAGTTTTCTGTTTTTTTTGTTTTCCAGGATATTAATGATCTTCCCATAAAGACACAATATCCTGAAAGTGATCTTCCAGTCATGAAGCAAGATCCCCAGTCTGCATCACAATATGCTGATAACTCAAAGTTTGAATTTGCAGAATAAAATAGTCCAATGTTAGCAGTGTGTTTCAGATATCGAACAAGGAAAAGAGCAGCCTGCATATGTATGATCCTTGGTGCATTCAGGAGTTGACTAAGTTGCTAAACTGTGTATGATATATCTGGCCGAATTAGATTCAGATATAGCAATCTCGCAATCAACCTTTTGTACTGTTCAGGCTCAACAAATAGCTCACTTTCTTCAGTGGAAAGCTTTAATCCTGTAGGCATAGGAAATCGTGCTGGTTTACAATCTACCATGTTGGTATCATGTAATATATCCAAAATGTATTTCCTTTGGTTCAAGATGATTCCTTTATCATTTCTTGCTACTTCTATTCCTAGAAAATAGCGTAGATGACCAAGATCCTTTATTGTAAATGCTGCATGAAGAGCATTCTTCACTTGTGTAATTTGTTCTTCTGAGTTCTCTGTTATTATTAGATCATCTACATAAGCAAGTACTGCTGTAAATGTATCAGTTGACCTTTTAATAAAAAGAGAATAGTCTTGTTTTGATTGTTGATAACCAAGCTTAATTAAGAACTTAGTAAGCTCAAGATTCCACTGTCTTGAAGCTTGTTTCAGTCCATATAAAGATCTTTTAAGTTTGCATACTTGTCCAGGTTTTGCATGTTCATAACCATCTGGAACCTCCATGTATACTTCTTCATCAATAAACCCGTGTAAGAAGGCATTGTTGATGTCCAAGTGGTATAAATTCCAACCTTTAGAAGCTGCAAAGGCAATTAGAACTCTTACAGTTGTGAATTTTGCAACAGGGCTGAAAGTATGTTTGAAATCTTTCCCTTTAATTTGATTGTATCCTTTAGCCACTAATCTTGCCTTGAAACGCTCAATGGTTCCATCAGATCTGAACTTTATTTTGTATACCCATTTAGCTCCAATAGCTTTCTTTCCATCTGGTAAATGAGTAAGTTCCCATGTGTGATTTCTTTCAAGAGCATCTAGCTCTTGCTGCATTGCCATAACCCATCTTTTGTCCATTTTTGCTTGGTTGTATGAAACTGGTTCATGTACTGAAAGTACATTAGCTAATGATGCTATGTAATCATCCCCATAATCCTTCAAGGATGAACATATCAGATTTGCAAAATGTTTGGTTGTAGAAGTGTTTGCAGATTCTGTTGTCATTATGGAAGATGGAAGATCTCTGCATACGTAGTCTTGTAATTTCTGGGAGATGATCCTTGTTCTGTTTGACCTTCTTTGAGGAACTGGTATTATTGGTGTTTGTTGTAGTTCAGGAGTATTTTCGGTTATCTCATGTATGGTTGAGATTGCATCATTGCTGGTAGATGGAAGTGAACTATCATGTGTATTCATTTCATTGTATACTCCTGAAGGCACAACAGATGGAAGATTTTTTGTTGTTTCTGATAATTCATCTCTTTCAAAGGGAAATATTGATTCATGGAATATTACATCCCTGCTCAATATAATTTTCTTTGATTCAAGGTCATAGACCTTGTATCCTTTTTGACCAAAAGGATATCCTATCATAACTCCTTTGCATGCCCTTGGTGCCAATTTGTCTGGTGTCTTTATAACAGCATAACACAAGCAACCAAACACCCTAAGATGTTCATATGTTGGTTTTTGTTTGAACAATACTTCATATGGTGTCTTCCAATTGATGTCAGATGAGGGCATAAGATTGATGAGATGTGTTGCTGTAAGAACACATTCTCCCCAGAAACTTTTAGGTAACTTTGCTTGAATTCTTATGGATCTTGCTGTATCAAGTAGATGTCGATGTTTCCTTTCAACTCTTCCATTTTGTTGGGGAGTATTTGGAATGCTTTTCTGATGAATAATTCCTTTTTCACTGAAGATCTTAGAACACACTACCTGAGCTATTTCAATTCCATTATCAGATCAAATCATTCTTATTTTTGAACTGAAATTTGTTTCTACATAAGCAATGAATCCAGAAACAATGTTGGGCACTTCAGTTTTGTCTCTTAATAAGTAAGTCCATGTGTTTCTAGTGCAATCATCAAGGATTGTGAGAAAGTAGGAAGCTCCAGTCATGGACTTTACTTTATATGGTCCCCATAAATCAATATGAACAAGGTCAAAGATTTTAAAAGCAATGGATTCACTTCTTTCAAAAGGTAGTATATGATGCTTTGCCATAATACAGACTTCACAAGACAGATTATTAACATTCTCAACATCATCTGCTAGACTTAGATGTTTCAACTTTGACAAGGATGTATGGCCTAATCTGTTGTGGATGAGCCAGCCATGATCAGGAATACTACAAGATTTATTCCTTAAACACTCTGTAGTCATTACATTGTGTTTATTATTCAAATCAAAATGAACAGACCTATT